GTGACATGGCTGAAAAGAAGAAGGGACCAAAGTAGAAGATGTATTACATGTAAGAGCAAAAGAAAGGGTATGGGGAGAAAAAAAGAGATTTTCTTAATTTTGATCTGCCTTGTAATCCGTCTCTGTCTGCCAAGTATAGGGACTGTCAGTCAATGATAGCCTTTCCATTGTTCTTCTGTGGGTGTCGTACAAAATCTATTCTCAGCAGAGGCTTATGAGATATGTGGATCAGCACTTGCCAGTAATTTTATCTATAGATGCAATGATGGCTCTAGTTCCTTCGCAGAAAGCTATCGAGTTAAGGACATATATAGCACAGTGATGGCGAACCTATGGCATGCGTGCCACAAAACGGCAGGTGCCTACTCTGCTTTCGTGTCGGGAGGACCGGAAGCAGGGGGGATGGATCTCGGAAGCAGCTCTCCTGTCCTCACACAAGCAATTACCATGGCAACGCTCCACACAGCATCACGCGGGAGGACAGGAGAGCTGCTTCCCTGTCACATACTTACCACCACGGACCACCATCAGGGATGGCTGTGTCCCCCCTCTTTCACCAAATGTAATAAGAAGGGAGGGTGGGAGATATAGATTTAATATACTTTTTTTTATGTACCTTCCCCACCCCCCCCCACACACAGCACCCCTACCCTCCTACACACAGCACCCCTACCCCCCACACACAGAACCCCTACCCCAAACACACAGCACCCCTACCCCCTACTTCCCACACACAGCACCCTAACCCTCACACAGCACACTACCCTCCCACTCAGCACCCCTAACCCCACACCCAGCACCCTAGCCCCACACACACAGCACCACTACAGCCACACACAAAGCACCCCTACCCCTCACACACAGCATCCCTACCCCCCACAGAGCACCCCTAACCCCCCACACACAGCACTACTAACCCCCCACACACAGCACCCCTACCCCCACACAGCACCCCTACACACAACAACCCTAATCCCCACACAGCACCCCCACACTCTACACACACAGCACCCCCACTCCCCCACACACAGCATCCCTACTTCCCATCACACAACACCCCTACTCCCCCCACACACAGCACCCCTCCCCACACACACAGCACCCCTCACACACACACACAGCACCCCCCCACACACACACACACACACACACACACAGCACCTCACACAAACAGCACCTCACACACACACACCCCTCACACACAGCACTCCACACACACTCCACCCCCTTACACACAAACACATACACTGCACCCCTCAATGCAGTATGTGTGTGCATTCAGCAGTCTTTATGTATTCAGCAGTGTGCATGTATTCAGCAGACTGTGTGTGTATTCAGCAGACTGTGTGTATGTACTCAGCAGTCTGTGTCTACTCAGCAGTGTGTGTATGTATTCAGCAGTGTGTGTGTATGTATTCAGCAGTGTGTGTGTGTGTGTGTGTGTGTGTGTGTATTCAGCAGTGTAAGTGTATTTAGCCGTGTGTGTGTATTCAGCAGACTGTGTGTGTGTGTATTCAGCAGTGTGTGTGTATTCAGCAGACTGTGTGTATGAATTTTGCAGTCTGTCTGTTTGTGTGTATTTAGCAGCCAGTCTGTGTGTCGGTGTGTGTATGTATTAAGCAGTCGGTGTGTGAATGTATTCAGCAGTCTGTGTGCATGTATTGCATTTGTTCGAGATACTAATAAATATAACCTTAATTTTATCTATTTATACCATTATTTAAAATTTGTATAATTGAACTCTCTGTTGTGTTCTTCTTTTAAAACCAAAGATGTTAATTAGTTCGGACAACTTTACAAGTTGTTTTTTCTAAACTTAAACCTCAGTATTCAGGTTTAATTGTCGTGTTGGAAAAAAAAGTTGGCATGTATTGCGGTTTGGGCACTCGGGCTCAAAAAGGTTCGCCATCAGTGATATAGCATGTAGCGATCACAAGCAGTACAAGTTCTTGAATATTGCATCCTCTTGTGATATTTCTGGATGAGAGGTTTAACCTTGCAGCAGCCACAAATTTAGCAAGTTACTGATGATGACATTTTATGTTAGAACAATGACAGTGGAGACCTTCTTATACCATACCTTAAATATGAAGCATAGGTCGTAATTGTGCCTGTGGTGTCCCTTTAAGAAGATACATTTTCCACAAAAACATGAGCAGGGCTTCATAAAGTGTTTTAGTCTTAGCTAAAAAGAGAACTCTATCACTATTGCAATTGCAATTATTAAGTATTAATAATGTCAGAATTTAGAACTTTAATTATATTGGTACTCTAAGTTAGCCTTGAAAACTTTTCTCCTTCATAATTGCTCAGCAAGGTTTTGTGTGATAATTATATTTATTCTAAATGGACTTCACATAACCTATTGGTCTGTTGCTATTTTTTAAGAGGTACTTATAAATAACTGAGCTGATACTGACAAATAAATGCATTTTCAGCTTAGCTTCCTGTCACAGAAAACACATTCATTTGTTTTTCTAAGCAATGTTTCTTTTGTTTTTTTTCTTGTATTTCACAACCTGTTTGAATTGTTTTTCATAGTTTACAGGTCTGAAATATATGTAAATGTTATGCATATAAGGTTCAATGTTTTACCATAAGTACAAAGCAATCTTATGCTGCTGTGTTTTAAATTTTTTACTACTTAAAATGTGCATAATAAATTATAAATGTCTGTAAATCAGCATTGTTTACCAGTTGTTGCACAGAAAATTGGAATTTATTTTCAAGTGATTTTCATTAAATTCATATATATTCTAATAGTTTCATCTAGCAAAGTTTTGTTACAGACTTCTACATATATATTCCTTTTAAAGTACATAAAACATTTTGCATCGTTTATAGAAATAGTTCAGGGCAACTTATTTGAATAAAAGTGGTAATTTCATCTAATCATTTATGTAGCTGTTTCAAATAAGACTTTTTAAGAGTTATAAGATAATCAGGAGAATGTATGTTTCTCCTAGTGGGTATCAAAGCACCTTACAGAAGATCATGTCATTTTACATATACATATATATATATTACGTACATATTGATACTTTTAGGTTTTTGCATATATAGAGGTAATATAGAGTGTTTTACTCAGCATCGTGATACATTTTATTAATCCTCCTTACTCTTCCACTCGTTGTTATTATTATTATTATTGTTATTATTGGCATTTATATAGCGCCAAGTTATTCCGCAACGCTTTGCAATTTTATGAATGGGGGGAATTTGGCAATAAATGAGACAATTACAAAATGATACATATATCATTATATATACATATAAAGGAACAATAAGTATATGAGGACTCTGCCCACTCATTGTCTTTATTTATTTTAAACCTAATTTGTAAAACACATCTCAAACAGATTACAGCTAGTTTATTCAGGCAAATGGGTTAAGGGGTAGGTGAAGCACTTAAAGATTCAGCAAAACATTATCCCACTGTTGACTTAGAGACATAACACTGCTTATTCAGGATACCATGGTAGGACATTATATCAGAACAATATAACAGAATACTGTGGTAGAATGTGGCAGCAAAACACTGCGATGAGCTGTAACTGTGATACGTGGGAGAGGTGACACTAACAAAATACTGTGCAGTTTGGACGCAGACACAAGAGTAGTATTTTGCCTTTAACAGCTATTTTATGTTTATGACGTGAGAAATCACGTTATTTAACCAGTGGGCCACTGCAATTAGAGTTTTTGTTGAATCTGTATATTAGGAGATATACCATAAGGTAACCAGGTTTAAGAACTTAGACAAAGTACGCGAGGAGCAAGAACTGAAGTACAGGAAGGCATCAACCGCTTTGGGGATCATTAGGAAGAGAGCCAGAGAAGGCCACAAAGATATTGTATGATAGTTATTGCTATGACAAAGATGGTTTCTACTGCATGTAGAATAGAGAATAATAGCTGAGAAAAACAAATTGCTGTCTCTTTTTGGTGATGGAAAATGTGATTTTGAATGTACAGAAAAATGGTAGGGGGCACCATAAGTGGCTCACTCAGTCAGTGCCCCAACAGAGAAACATGATATATCATGTTCTGATCCACCTGCCATGCATTGAAGCTCAATATCAAGGATGTTAGATTTATATGATGCTGCTATGGACAAATTGTGCTACACTTTAAAATGCAGATGTAAACAAATATTGTGGAATTAGATTTTTACATTTTATTCCTATAAAATAAATGATCACTTGCTCTTTTAAAGTGACCTATTTTCCATCATTTAGAATAAACATTATAACTGTAGACAAAGGAGTTTTCTGTGGTTCAGTGATGGTGACTAGAGTTGAGCGGACACCTAGATGTTTGGGTCCGGCGGGTTCGGCCGAACTTTGAAAAAAAGTCCGGGTTCGGGCTCAAACTTGACCCCGAACCCCAACCTCAATCGGGACCCAAACTTTTGGCCACAAAAATGCCTCTAAAAAACTCCTGGAAAGAGCTAGAGAGCTGCAAAAGCAAGTACAATGGGGGTAAAAGTGCCATGCAAACAAATGTGGATGGGGAAATCACTTAAAATAACATGAAAAATACAGCTGAGCCATAAAATAGCACTAGATGGAATCTTTGATTTTAGCTTTGGAAGAACATAAATCAAAATCTAAAGCATGGCTGTAAGGAGGATCACCAGAATTATCCATTTGAGAGAGGTTGGAGTGCAGGGCATTCTCTTTCATTTTTCAAACTGAGCTCAACTCCTGATGCATAGAGAAAAGGCCTTCACAAGCCTCTGCTATTGTGTACATAGTTTATACTACGTGACCCATAGGTTAAGGAGGCGGTGACCGTGGTGGTGTAAGTGGAAGTGGCGGTGGAGGAGGAGGAGGTAGCCAACACTTTTTATATATATCTATTTTTTATTTTAATTGGGGTAGCCCCCAAAATGTTGGGACATACAAAAAAAGAAACATTTGCGTCCTGCGGTGCATTTCTTGCAGTCCTGATGCATGGAGAAATGCTCAACTCCTGATGCATGGAGAAAAGGCCTTCACAAGCCTCTGCTAATGTGTACCTAGTTAATACTAAGTGACCCATAGGTTGAGGAGGCGGTGACCGTGGTGGTGGAGGAGGATGAAGTAGCCAACACAGCTTTTTATGTTTTTTTTTTTTTATTGTGGTAGCCCACAAAATATTGGAACATACAAAAAAAGAAACATTTTGTTGACTGTAGAGAACCTCGGTCCAATCGCACATTCCTGTGACTGCGACTTTGCATTTGGATGTCATCCATATCAACTTTCGATGCCAGTTTCTGCACCTACCATGGTGACCACGAGTAACAGGGAATCAGGGTTCCATTCCGTACAGGGACCCTGAGAAATGGCTACCACATGCAAGGAAGGCAATAGGTGCGCAAATGACCCACTCCTGACGCGGGAAGGTAGTGAGAACAAATAACAATACAGGACTCTTTAGAGGCCCTGTAATTGTAATGAGTCCACTTGAAATCCTTTAACTCTGATCAATTGGAGGGAAGTCTGGTGCAGAGCCACTGACCCGTGTGTGCTGCAGCTGAAACTCCACTATTGCCTGCTGCTGCTCACACAGTCTCATGAGGTGGTGAAAAAGAAGAGATGTGTCAGGTGCTCACTCCAAAAAATAAACAGTAAGATAGGCAGCAGTAACAAATACAAGGATTCCCAGCCTTGTTAGAACAGTAGTATAGGAGAAAAAGGAGGAAACCGCGCCTTACATAAATTATATATACATACACTTGATGTCTCTTGGTAGTTTCGGATAATTTATCCTCAAAAAGAAAACAGAAAGAGTATATACAATAGTGTAGTATGTTAAATAATATTGGAAAAAAGTGATAAATAAAACGGAGGTATTTTTCACTCACATTTGGTAGAGCTACTGTGGGAGCTCTACCATAATTGGCTTGGACGGTACAATCCCCGTCTTAGGATAAGAAGTCCAACGTCTTAGGTACTCCAATGGTGTAGTAATGCAGATAAAAATGGAAAACAAGAAACTCCAATAGTGTAATAGTTCCAACTCCAAGTATAAATGGATAAATAGAAATATATATACTCACATTTACTAGAGCAGAAAACTTGCTCTAGTTTATAAGGCTTGCAGTGGTATAATCCCCACTGTAGGATATACAGGCCAGGAAGTAAGATGGTGCAAATAAAATATAATAAAGTGGAATATAGCTTTAAAAGATATATATTTAATAATGTAACAAACAGAATAAAATAAAAGCTATATAAAAATTTTTATAATATAGCTTTTATTTTATTCTGTTTGTTACATTATTAAATATATATCTTTTAAAGCTATATTCCACTTTATTATATTTTATTTGCACCATCTTACTTCCTGGCCTGTATATCCTACAGTGGGGATTATACCACTGCAAGCCTTATAAACTAGAGCAAGTTTTCTGCTCTAGTAAATGTGAGTATATATATTTCTATTTATCCATTTATATTTGGAGTTGGAACTATTACACTATTGGAGTTTCTTGTTTTCCATTTTTATCTGCATTACTACACCATTGGAGTACCTAAGACGTTGGACTTCTTATCCTAAGACGGGGATTGTACCGTCCAAGCCAATTATGGTAGAGCTCCCACAGTAGCTCTACCAAATGTGAGTGAAAAATACCTCCGTTTTATTTATCACTTTTTTCCAATATTATTTAGCATACTACACTATTGTATATACTCTTTCTGTTTTCTTTTTGAGGATAAATTATCCGAAACTACCAAGAGACATCAAGTGTATGTATATATAATTTATGTAAGGCGCGGTTTCCTCCTTTTTCTCCTATACTCATGAGGTGGTGAGCGGGAAGGCCGAAGTTACGCTGCAGCGCAGACAGTTGAGCAGCAGCAGGGTGACAACGCCAAAAGCACGCACAGCCACTACAGTGAATGTCACATCCTGTTCCAAGTTGCGGATCACTCTGGTGATGGCTTCTGGTATCCAGTACTCTTTTTACTGAAGCTGCATCAGGGTCCTGGTATGTTGCCGCACTAACGCTGGTGCTCAACACCAGGGGGCGTGTGGTTACCCTGCACCAGACCCTGCTAATCCATTCCACACTGTGACTCCTAACTTCAACATCAGGCATACTGGGTCCCGGTCATCCGACCGCCACCCACCCAGACAGTGTCTGGGTCCTGGTCACCGGACTGCCTACCTGACTGTAAAACTACGAATGGATCGTTAAATCTGGTTCGAACTCGAACTTTGCAGTTCGGATTCGCTCAGCTCTATTATGTATCCTTTGATCGCTACATGTATTACTTGGATAACTGGTAATTCTCAAGCTAATACATGCCGACGAGCGCTAGTGGACGTCCGGTCCGCTTTTGCACCCTGCTCCCTCTTATGCTGTGCTGGTGCCTCTGTGCGACCAGCGCCTCTTCCTCCAACCTGCACACGTCACTCGCATGACCTTGATTCCATGTGGGATCTAGGACCTCATCATCCTCCACATCATCTTCCACTCACTCCTCAACCCTGCCCTCCTTGCCGGTATGCACACTGCAGAAAGCCACAGCAGTTGGCACCTGTGTTTTTCCAGCATGTAAAGTCTGCAAGGGACATATGGAAATTGTTTTAGAATTGTATCCAGGCAACAGTTTTCCCTATAAACTGACCTCTCAGTTTGACTTGTGAGGGTATTGCCCCAGAATTACAATATTATTGAAGTACCTCTGAAGTAGCTATTGATAACTGGTTTAAATATAGCAGCTTGTTATCTGGTAGTTTCTAGTGTAGAAAATATCAATCTGTTTTCTATCACTTAGATCTGTGTAACAAGTGTTGTGGGTGTGAAACAATATTACAAGTGACTGATGTAGTAAATTCGAATCAAAGTTCCATTTGCAAAAACAATTCTCGCCCATTTTCAGTGGGTTATTGTGTTTTTAAGATGCAGACTTATTGTATCACACTAGCCATACACAGGTAGATTGTCTGGCACGTGGTTTTGGTGTTTGGTTTTTAACTTTTTAGTTGTGTCTTTACACAATATAAAAATGTATATTAATGCTTCTGTATATGAAGCGATCACAATAACACTTATTTTTCACTTTTTAAAAAAAAATCAGGCTACACAAAAATTGGTAATTCACAATATGTCATCTGAAAAGCACATAAAAGGATGCTGTATGATTTTTAAAAAAAGAACACACTACATGAAGGTCATGTTCACTAGAGTGTGTAGTCATGAATGTAACCAGTAATACTTTTTTTTTACAGCCACTGGTTAGCCCATACATATTTTAAAACTTGTTTAATTTTGTTGTAGCATGACTTGTAGATATGAAGAGCAGGCCCCAAAATGTACTATTTAGCAGATTAGCACCCAGAAAATAAGAATGTTTACCACTGCGCTGAAAGCACACTATTAGACGCTTTTATTTGACTCTCAGATATGAAGTGCACCTCAGGACCCAAAATGTACTATTTAGCAGATTAGCAGCAAAATAATTAGAATTTTTACAACTGCGCTGTAAGCACACTATTAGACGCTTCTATTTGACTCTCAGATATGAAGTGCACGCCCCAAAATGTACTATTTAGCAGATTAGCACCCAGAAAATTTGAACTTTTACCACTGCGCTGTAAGCACACTATTAGACGCTTTTATTTGACTCTCAGATATGAAGTGCACCTCAGGACCCAAAATGTACTATTTAGCAGATTAGCAGCAAAATAATTAGAATTTTTACAACTGCGCTGTAAGCACACTATTAGACGCTTCTATTTGACTCTCAGATATGAAGTGCACGCCCCAAAATGTACTATTTAGCAGATTAGCACCCAGAAAATTTGAACTTTTACCACTGCGCTGTAAGCACTCTATTAGACGCTTCTATTTGACAATCAGATATGAAGTGCATGCCCCAAAACGTACTATTTAGCAGATTAGTACTCAGAAAATTAGAATTTTTACAACTGCGCTGTAAACACACTATTTGCCGCTTCTACTTGACTCTCATTTATGAAGTGCACCGCAGGCCCCAAAATGTACTATTTTGCAGGTTAGTAGCAAAACAATTAGAATTTTTACAACTGCGCTGTAAGCACACTATTAGACGCTTCGATTTGACTCTCAGATATGAAGTGAACACCCCAAGTATACTTTTTAAAACTCCAATGTAAGCAGCAGATTAGCAGCAAAACAATTAGAATGTTTACAACTGCGCAGTAAGCGCACTATTTGACGCTTCTGTTTGACTCTCAGATATGAAGTGCACCGTAGGCCCCAAAATTTACTATTTAGCAGATTAGCACCCATAAAATTTGAATTTTTACAACTGCACTGTAAGCACACTATTAGAAGCCTCGATTTGACTCTCAGATATGAAGTGCACCGCAGGCCCCAAAATGTACTATTTAGCAGATTAGCAGCAAAACAATTAGAATTCTTACAACAGCGCTGTAAGCACACTATAAGACGCTTCGATTTGACTCTCAGATATGAAGTGCACGCCCCAAAATGTACTATTTAGCAGATTAGCACCTAGAAAATTCAAATTTTTACTACTGCGCTGTAAGCACACTATTAGAGGCTTCTATTTGACTCTCAGATATGAAGTGCACCGCAGGCCCCAAAATGTACTCTTTAGCAGATTAGCAGCAAAACAATTAGAATGTTTACAACTGTGCAGTAAGCGCACAATTTGATGCTTCTATTTGACTCTCAGATATCAAGTGCACCGCAGGCCCCAAAATGTACTATTTAGCAGATTAGCAGCCAGAAAATTATCATTTTTACAACTGCGCTGTAAGCACACTATTAGACGCCTCTATTTGACTCTCAGATATGAAGTGCACGCCCCAAAATGTACCATTTAGCAGATTAGCACCTAGAAAATTTGAATTTTTACCACTGCACTGTAAGCACACTATTAGACGTTGCAATTTGACTCTCAGATATGAAGTGCACGCCCCAAAATCTACTATTTAGTAGATTAGCACCCAGAAAATTTGAATTTTTACCACTGCGCTGTAAGCACACTATTAGACGCTTTGATTTAACTCTCAGATATAAACTGCACCGCAGGCCGCAAATGTACTATTTAGCAGATTAGCAGCAAAACAATTAGAATTTTTACAACTGCGCTGTAATCACACTATAAGACGCTTCGATTTGACTCTCAGATATGAAGTGCACCCCACTAAAATACTATTTAGCAGTTTATAAATAATTTTAAGTTTTAAAACTGCAATGTGACAGCTGTATTTGACGATTCTAGTTGACTCTCAGATATGAAGTGCACCCCACTAATGTACTATCCCACTAATGTACTATTTAGCACCAAAAAAAAAGACTTTTTAAAACTCTGATGTAACCGCGGCATTTGAAGCTTCTATTTGACTCTCATATATGAAGTGCACCCCACCCCACTATTGTACTAGTTTG